GTGTCACACCTAACAGGCTTCCACGGCTCATGAGGAGGCTCTTCAGGCGAAGGAGCAAAGACAACTGCAAGCAGAGAGTGGTACGAGAGCATATGCTATGCCATGCTGCAAGATTGGTATGACAATGTTGTGGGCAGAAAGTTTGTTGCTTAGAGACGCCTGGAGGAGAAGGAAGTTGCTAAAATGGCAACGGAGATGTTGAAGAGCGAAGCTACCCAGATGATGATGAGCAGAAAGGAGGAGGCCGTGAAAACCAGATACTAGCATCCAGTTGTCAAGTTTCATTTGAGCTCTCATGCAAAAACTTATGTTGAAGGGATTCCTGATGTGGTGTTGTCCAGGGCCTCCGACACTGGGTGTCAGTTCTCCTTTCTTCTTCTGTGGAGACATTGTTGCTCAAGACACTGCGTGCATGGTCATATTCCCAGCATGAGCTACCACAGAATGAGATCCTTTAAGCACTTCTTGGATCGTCCTATCTATTCGCTGACAGAAATGATTGACATGGGTGACTCTTCTTTGAGCATGAGGTCTAACGAGTCCAGCAGACAGAAGCTGACGGAAGCGCTGCTTGAAGCTCAGCCCTGTGACATCCTGACACCAAGCCTTTCAGACATGCTAGGCATGTTTCGATCTGACAATGAGAAGTGACGAGGGATGGGGATTGTAAAGGATGGAATTTGAGTTTTTGCGGCATAGCGGCGGGTCGCTAGAGCAGCTAGTTGCAGCTTGCGAGGTCAAGCCAATCCGCCACTTTGGAAGATCTGAAAGAAGAGCTTCTGCAAGCCCGGCCACGGTCTCAGATGGATATGTGTCCCAGAAACATCCAGAAATCTTGCAACACAGTGTTTGAGAGGCGATTGGACATGAGCAGCGGTTTTGAAATACCAGCAGTTAGCTAAAACATCGAAAACCTGAATCATGTCCTCTTTATTGTATAGTGTATAGGCACTGTTGGGCAGTTCTGGGGCTGACATAAGTTGACCCAGCTCTTGTTGTTCGATGTTTCTGCGAGGTCCAGTGAGTCCGAGCGCCTTGCGTCCCTACGGGAGGAGCTCCGGGCACGGCCAGACACTGAGGAGTGCAGCGTGCGGAGTGGATTTCGCAAATGCCACGAGGAGGTTGAGCCTTAAAATTTGACACTCCCGGATCGTGAGGTCCGACTGCATCGCCGAGCTCCAATCAAGGTGCGATAAGAAATCGAATGTGCCCCTAGGAAGCTCATCACATTCTAGTTGTGTGGATGCATCGCCAAGGGATTCTGACCGCTGCTTGGAGTTGGAGAACTTGTTGGCTGAATCGAGGCCTTTGCGTGTTAGAAAGGCGGTGTATGTGATGACCGAAAGCCCATCATCATTCAAGAGCTGCAATAGCAAACTAAACCATCTGCAGTAGTACTAAAGTACCAGCATGTACCAGCGTTTCCATAGAAGTCTGAAGTCTGAGAGGCAGCAAACATCCAGGGCGAAGACAGAAGCACAGGAGGCGCGGAAACAGATGCGGTAGACATCCCGAAGAAGCAAAGCGGGGAGGGAGAGAGAGGTTTCAAGATGAAAGACGTTTGATCGAAGCTCACCACGTTGATTCAATTACTGACCTGCCATGTCCCTGTTTCACACTCCGCTCTTGCAGTTCGCCATAAGGACCTTGCTTCTAGTAACAAGAAGCTACTAGAAGCTCCTGACATCGCTACTAGGAGCAAGGACGCTACTAGGGGCTCCTGGCCTTACTAGTAACAAGAAGCCATTAGAAACAAGAATTAAAATAGGAACAAAAAAGCTACTAGGAACAAGTGCATCGCTACTAGGAGCAAGGGCCTTACTACTAGAAACAAGAAGCTATTAGTTCCCAATTTCAGGTTGCCTTTCGGATCCTTTCGGCTTTGCGCGAGACAAGTGTCAATGGCAGGGATAACTTGGCAATGAGAGCCATACGAGCATGTTCGCATTTGTGCGGGGAACTGTTACTGCAGGCTAAAGTTGGTGCAGATGTATGTGCTTTGCCGGAACTCCCAGGAGCATGCTGCGCCGGCCTTCGACTCGGCATCTGCACAAGCTCGGGCAATGGAACTGGCTTATGGTCGCCGAGAGGAGGCTTGGTATTGAATATTGCTTCAGATGGATACAGCTATATACAGCGTATGAAAGCATATGCTGCTGTGCGAGGACAGTTTGACATATGTTCGATAAGTAGCTAAGTAGATATTGAACTTGGTCTCAACAAATTGACTGTCGGAGGCAACACGGCGCATGCTGTCCAGTCTCTTTGCCTCACAACTGGAGTCCCTGCTGCGACAAGTCATGGATGCCTGGCGCGCTGCCAAGGCAAGGTTACACTGATTGGTGGTTCCGTGAATTATTGAACACACCTATTTGGTTCACTTGTTGGCCATGATTGTCAGTGATATTCCCGCGTCGTTTTTGATGCCTTTTGGTTTGACATTAGACAGTTGTTAATGGTAGGCGGAACGCTTGCAGCTGGATTCTGTGGAAAAGCAGACACAGGAGGTGGAGATGATGAGGCGACGTTTTTTACTCGGAAGCACCATTTGAATGGCTTTTGTTGTGGAACGATCGCACACAACTTTGGTGATGGAATGTCCAGGACACAGTTGCAAGATCTTCAGACGGCTGCCAAGGCCAGACTTACTACAGTAATAGATAGAAACAGAGCGTAAAGGGTGCAGTGAGTGTTCTTTTTAAATAGGATTTGTTTGTATGGATTTGTTGGTGCTTTTGAGCGTTGGTGTCACACCTAACAGGCTTCCACGGCTCATGAGGAGGCTCTTCAGGCGAAGGAGCAAAGACAACTGCAAGCAGAGAGTGGTACGAGAGCATATGCTATGCCATGCTGCAAGATTGGTATGACAAT